CAAGAACAGCCACCTGTGGCTAATTTTCCTGTAATTTTGTCACTGTTCCAGTCTTCATCTTCGCTGCTGCTGCTATCCAACCCTCCACCTTTGTTGCCACTACTGTTCCAGCTCTCCACCTTTTCTGCAGCTGCTGTTCCAGTTCTCTATCCTTGCTGCCATTGCTGTTCCAGCCTTTCTGCTTGGATGCTGCAGCCTAGAAGCCCCTCTAATCACTGTTTTCCATGCTGTCAGCCCACTTAACACTACGCTGCAGTCTAGGACAGCAAATATCTGCTGTTTCCCTGTTGCACGTCTGCTCCATCTCCCACCTTTCCAGCCCCCAAACAACCACCACCACAACCCTAGATTCGCCCTAGTTGCCTGCTGCGTGTCGTGTCTGTTATTATTTATCATTTTGGTATGTCTGGTTGTAAGCCCTATTTGTTTTCAATGATAATATTTTCTTTCCTTATTATCATTTGGTTCTTTGGTATCATTTGGAATTAGAGGTAGCCTAACCCTACTCTTGTCCTAGGGTTACCTCAATCTTCCACTATTTAACCCAAAAATTTTTCTTTCCCACCCTAAATTACCTCATACACTTTCTTCTACCTACTCAGCCTAAATCTTAACCACGCCACTGAAGAGTCAATATGCGCAGACCTTGTCGCGAGGAAATGATTCAATACTGCTTATGAGAAATCCACAAAGAGAAGTTCAAAAACTTACCATCGAAGAGGTGCAATGTGAATTCATCCAATTGCAACATATGTTTACCTTCTTCGAGAGGAGGCAATCTAGAAAGGTCACCCGCAGCCACAATGGTGATTTGCTAGGCCGAAAGAATGCAATAAATTCTTTCCACCAGACAAACTCTAGAGATGAACCACTGTTTCGAAGATATTTCCTGAAATATTATAAAAGTCAATCTTGAAGTCAATGTTGATTTGCCATATTTTGGACGCTACTTGGATCTAAATGAGTTTATCGAGTGGCTCTAGAATGTGGAACGCGTTTTTGAGTACTAGGAAGTCCCACTGGACAAAATGCTGAAATTAATATGACTACTTGGATCTAAACGAGTTTATCGAGTGGCTCTAGAATGTGGAACGTGTTTTTGAGTACCAGGAAGTCCCACTGGACAAAATGCTGAAATTAATATCTAGAAAGTTAAAGATTAGTACATCTTTGTTGTGGGAGAACTTGAAGATTCTTCGACAACAAGGAGGGAAGAGTAAAATTACTATATGGTCCAAGATGAAACGAGAGATGCAGCATCGGTACCTACTGGTTTATTACAGATATGATATTCCTCGGCTTTAAAAGTAGAGAGACAATATTATCAGATGACAGCCACATCTTACAGACATAGTTAAACTAATTCAGAGTGGAGAATACGTTGAGCCAACCAACATTCCCAAATCTATCATGGTCAAAAAGTGCGTCAAGTGCCAATATTTTGGGCATAGTACATCAGATTGCCCAAACGAGAGCACAGTCTATTTCATTGAGTAGAGAGCAATTGAAGAAATAAACAATGACACAATAAACACGGAAGAAAGTGAGGACACAAAGGAGTATCGACTACTAACTAATGAGGGAGAGATGCATGTAATACGAGCTTAGCTAATGAGAGATACCCCAATGAGGTTAACAATAGTTGTTCTAGAAGAAAGTAAGACCAAGGTAATGAGCGTTCATGTAGAGTATGAGATTGTGATTCTTCAAACTAACTTTTTGTAGGCGTTGAGAGTAACATCAACATAACTGATATGAAATGTTCAAAAGGGCCATGAGTTTGTAGAGTTGGTATCAGACATAAGGCAACCTCATATAAGATAATTTCATAATTTTCAAATATATAACCTACCTCTTGAGTTGCCCATACTGAAGGAGGTCCAACATATCAGAGATGAGAAGCTTTTGAGCTACTTCTGGAAGACCATATGGGGTCATTTGGGTGTTAAATGCAGTTTAGTAGTGCATTCACTGATTCATGGTTAGACAGGAGAGATAACCCGTAGTGTTGAAAATTGCCTGAGGAGCTTTGCAGGAAAGAACATCCAACAATGAGAGCTAGGCCCTTTTAGAAAAGAGGAGACATCACCCTAGTTGTTGCTATTAAGAATTGCCTAGTGTAGCACAAATTTTAGTCCAGAGTTAGTTTCTCCAGACTAATTTGTTTATCGAATGCACTTTGCCGAGTACAATGAGTGGAAGAGGCAAATTTCAAATTTAATGACTCGGGAGTTACTTTATGAAAATCTACATCGATATGCAACTTCAGTTATGATTGTGCTAAAAGAGCATGAATACTTATTATATTAGTATGTGTTTTAGAATGATGATGTTTGCATGGTTGGCTTACTAGGAGATTATGCCATTTCTGTTGTCTTCAATGTGGTCGACCTAACGCTATATTATGAGGAGATAGAACTTTCGAAAGATGAGGTCAAAGCTCACTTAGCCTCAGGAGATTAACACAGACATCATTTTCAACCTGAATCCGACACGGGCTCTTACAACCTGGACCAGATGCGGCATCCGGGTTGCACGAACTACGCAGAGCCTAACCAAGTGGTTCTTCTTTCGATTCTTTTCCAATTTTCAACACGTTTCCTTGTATCATTACTTTCTAGTCCTTCTCTACATATGTGTTTTATTAAGGTTTAGATTCTTAGCTTTTATCATATCTCCGTTTGGGACAACCACCAATGTCTCAAATTTTTTCGTCTAGGGCTGTATTCAAGGTTCGAGTGGTGCTCCGGTTGTATCTCGCTCCCGAGGTGGTGATTATATTCCTTCGACCTCTCCACATCTTATATCTCTTCTCATCGCTCTCTATCTCTCCATCCCTGTTACAGCTGCCCAGAACAGCATCCTGTGGCCGTTTTTCCTGCAGTTTTCACATTGTTCCAGCCTCCGCCTTTGCTGCCTCTGCTGTTCCAGCCCTCCAACTTCATTGCCGCTGTTGTTCCAGCCCTCTACCTTACCGATTGGCTGCTGCCGCCCAGAAACCCCTCAAGTCGCTGTTTTCCATGCTGCCAGCCCACTTACCTTCATGCTGCTGTCCAGGACATCAAGTGCCTGCTGTTTCCCTGCTGTACCCACCCTTCTGCTTCATCTTCCTACCTTACCGCCACTTTTTCAAGCCCCTACTGCCACCACCACCACCACCACCACCCCCCTAGATTCCCCCTAGTTACGTGTTGTGTGTCATCTGTTTTGTTATTTCTTATTTCGGTGTGTTTGGCTGCAACTCCTATTTGTTTTCAGTAATAATATGTGCTTTTCCTGTTAGTGTTTGGTTAACTCGGGCATCAAAACTGCTTCTTTGAAGTCTTGTGTTGATCTTGCTCGCATCTTTCTTTCAATGTCCTTATATTTTTCTTCCCTTGAGCTCTCGGTTTAGTAGGATGAAGATGGAGAGGGATCAACCCTGCTAAGTTTGGAGGAAGGTAACTTTGGCTGTTGGGTGGAAGAGAGATTGCCTAATGGCTTAAATGCAGTGAGTGAGAGAGGTGAGACAATTAGACACGGTTAGTTAACCTTGATTCAAATTTTACTTTAATTCAAAACATGTACAAAATTGTCTCTTTTTTATTCAAGAGAAAATACATGAACTATTATTACCTTCGTACTATAGTATCTATTTACGAAACCATATCCATTATTGAATATATATTGAACTTGCTTTCTTCCTTCATCTGGCTTCTTCCATCTTCCTTGTAGGTTTTTGAGCATGTGGTCGACTTCTCCCTTTTTCCATGGATCCATGGCTCACCTTTCTTATTTGATTTTTCTTCTAGTATTTTTCTCTAAAATTTGTAATCTCCTTTGATCCTTGCATGGGTGGCTAACCAAGGGACTGTTAAGTTAATAATAAAGAGTAGATACACGAGAATTAGAAACCAAAAATATCAAATACACGAACACATGCACACTAAAAATTTATATGGTTCAGTGAGATTTATCTATGTCCACTGTCACACAGAGATCGAATAATCAACTAAGCTTCAAAAGGATGCATGGAGATATTACTTTTTCTAGTAATAATGAGAGAGATATCATTTTGTCTATACCACCGACTGAGAGAAAGTGCAGCCATTGACTACGGAGATAAAAGCTAGATACATAGAAGGTGGTGATCTTTTTGCTATTACTAATTTCTTTGTTGCAGGAATCCAATAGATGAAATTGAAACAATGAACTTTTTTGTTTGAGGAGTAGAACATCTTGAACTCGAAAGATTGAAAACTCTCTACTTTTCTCTATGCTGGCACCCCCTCATCTCTCTCTCTCTCTCTCTCCATTTACTTGTAATTGTGGGATGCCCTGCAACTTATGCAACGAACTATTTATGTGGTACTTTGATAGGGTATGTAGCAAGCTTGTACATGTTAGGTAGATGGTAGATAATATAGCTGTAGATGTTTGGTAGAGTGGGATAGATAATTAACTTGTAGTGGTTAGGTAGAGCTTGATATATAAGAAACATGCAGTGGAAATGTAGATAAATTTATCTGGATACCTCAACACAGGTTTCCAAATTTAAAACCTTGCTTGATTGAAGTCATGTAGATGCCCTCCTGAGTTCAAAATGTCGTTGGCTTGGTCATCTTCTTGATTGTTGTGAAGTTGACTTGATATTGCATTGTATCTGGAATTTACTTGCTTGTCTTATTGTATCATTGGCTTGATTTGGCTTCTTTTCTTTGCTTTTGTGCTCCTCTTTTGGACATGCTGAAGGCTGATAAGTGCCTACCGAAGCATGACATGCCAATGATCTTGAGCCTCTCAAATCCTCCTGGAACATTTGACATACCCTTATGGCTTAGGGCTGTGCTAAATTAGATGACCACAACCCATAATTTTATCCATAATGCTTTTATTTGCTTAGAAAATGCTGAGATGGTGATACTGAAAGATATATTTGCCAAGCTATGGCTAGCTTATTTTGTTATAATACTGAAAATAGGATTTCTTTTGCAGGATCTCGCATTCCAAAAACTTATATTTATAACAATGCTTGCATGGGAGCAACCTTATAGTGAAGCTGATGGCTCACAATATCCTTCAGAGAAGTTTTCTCTACAGGTTTGTGTTATCATATGGTACTTTGACTTGAACATGCATGACCATGTAGTTTACCCTATTGTAGGCCTGTAAGCCCCAAAGTGTCATGGGTTAAACATGGATAACTATTGTGAGAAGCCATTTCGAGTTCGTGATTCTTTTTTAGTAATAATCAATCAATAATTTGCTTGTTTAAGAATTATCCATTGTTGAAAAACATCTGGTTTTCAGTGTCCAAAAGAATTATGATAAAAAAGTATGACAAATTAGCAAGCACTTAACGAAGAACTTGGAAGGAAAATGAAGATTTACTGAAAATGTACATATCTAAACTTCACGAAGTGCTTTTTTATTAAATAAAAAGGGATTCAGGCAAATATTGGAAATAGATGTATGAAAAAGTTTTTAGTTGCAATGTATGAGGACAGATGAAAAAAAAGCGTATAAATATGATCATGGAAGTCATAATAGATAGACACTTTAAATGGACTTCACATAAGAATATATTTTGTTTTTTATTTTTTTGAATCTTACCAATCTTTCGATGTCCTATCTGACCTTTACACACCCCAGGGCTGAAGAGCAAGTTTATAGTTAATAGCATCTGGTTTTAGTTTCCTTTATTTTGAATACATGCTTAATATTTAACAATTCATTCGAAATTCATTTACATTTATGAATTATTCTTCCCTTTACGATTCCAAGTAGCATTCTGCATTCCCAAACATAATTTTTGCCTCTAATATTTAAATCTGATGGTTTGATTATTATTTATACAATGAACAATCAAACACTTAAAATAATCTGGTTTTTTATCCAAAAATAATTTTTAAAATATTATAGAATTGTGTTCTTTAAACATATCTATTCCAAAGTCATGTTAAGAGCAGTTCTTGATAGATTAATTGCAATTGAGCAATACCTGCCAATTATTGATTTGTTAACAGTCCATTTGCAGAAGTCCTTTAATACTTATTGTAAACTATTTATCCTTTACTGAATGTCTCTTTCGATGATTATATATGATAGTTTGAGGCTTATTGTTTACTATATATTCATAATTCTAATATAATAATTTTTATGAACATATTTGCTAAAGATCCATTTTTTGTTACTAAGTAGCTGCATGATTAGCTTACTTACACTTAGCAAATGTTATTGAAATGGATTGAATTTCTTTTAGTTAAGAATTAGAAGCCAACATAAAACACAGATTTATGAGTGTATTGAGATTGAATAATCTATCATTAATATTTTTTTCTGAATATTTTTGTGCAATTAAATAAATATGGGAAATAAGATACTAGACTTGAATTTGGGACTCAATATTTGGAACTTTCATATATAATGGCTTCTTAAAGTTTCACACGATTAAAAAAAATCAATACTAAATTACATAAAAGTAAATAACATTACAAGTATTTAAGTACATATAAAAAAATCATCAAATTCACAATGCAAAAAAAATAGTTTTTATTCATCTCTGATTTAAAATTTGGTTTTCTTATCTATTATAAAGAAATATTTTTATTGTAAAAAAAATTTGGTTATACTGAAAGGTTAAAGATTTCAACCTTAATTTCATCATAGGTAATTGTTTTTCTTCTGAAATCCTTACTACTATCAAAACATACATGGTATTTTATTTAGTCCATTAGGGAATTCCAGTCTAATTTATATTCTTTAATGAGTTTATTTAAATTCATTGTTTTTTATTTAAATAATTTCTTTGTGCGTTTAATTCCTTCATTTGTGTTTCTAGGAAGCAATCAAGGCAAGTCCATTAACCTAAGAAGCAATCCAAGCCCTCCATTGATAATAACAATTTTCTTATCTCTATTTTATAATAATCCTTCAGCTTTTAAATCTTTGTGCTTCAATCATTAACCAAGAAGATACCACAAGTTGCTCTTATCTGATCTTACCTTGAATATTTCTTCGTTTCCCAATCCAACTCTAATAGCTCGTTCTCTCTCAAAGCAAGCATTTGCTATTTATAATATATTTTAAGCATTTTTTGCTTTAATTATTTAAAAATTCGGGCAAGAACATATATAGATAGATTATTTATTTATTTTTTGCACATATAGATAAAATTTTTCTCTCATATTTATGATCCTGTTTTTTTTTTTAAATAGGATTAGAGAATGTTCATTCATCTATTGTATGAAAATAATGCTATTTTAAATTATTATTATTATTATTTATTTTGAGTGCGTCTGTTCAATCGTATATTTTTTACACTTTGCCTATTGCTTGGTCTAATTGTTCATTATGACTGCAATTTTGTTTATTCTTGTGAGAAACAGCTATTATTGTATGAAGGAATCATTGTTAAATGATATATCCTATTTTATATTCTATTTAATAGATAACTGTGTTGCCAAAATGTCTGCTAGATGTTGAGATTTTACAAGGTTTGGACTGATCATTGTTGTATAGATAAGAACGAGAGATCGTCATTTAAGTTGAATGCATTTTCCTTTTATTTTTTGATATAAGTTTTTTTTTTCTTTGATAACCTTAGTATTATTTATTTTTTAAATATTTTGTAATTACTAAGATCGAATATTGATTAGATGAACTTTTGTTCTTTTAAAATTATGCATAATACACACTTTTTTTACTGGTAAGCCATGCATGACCATTTTAGGCACCACTTCATTTTCCAGGTTCACTGTTATGTTGAGTCAATGTATACTTTACAGTGTTGGAGTTTTCTATTAGTTCAAAACCGACAGTTTTCAAAATCTTAAGGCATCATGATTGAAGATATGGCAAATTGCCGACTGCTATACACGAGTAATTTTGAAGGAAAATGATGATTTACTGAGAATGTGCATATCTAACCTGCAAGAAGATAATTCTTATTAAATATAGATGGGATGCAAATAATATTTTGTAACCTGCATGAAAGAATATTACTTGCAAAATTAGAGCAGAATGTTATTCTATATTATCTATTAGATGGGTACTTTTAGCTGAATTTTACATATTGAAATAGGATGCAGTTTTGATTCTTTTGCATCTTACCACTCTTTTGATTTGTTGCCTGAGCGTAACACACTTCTGAGCTAAAGAACGAATTTTGAGCTAAAAAAACATTTAAGAGATTTATCACTTATACAAGCACGCGCTGATAATCATCATGAACTAAACTCTCCCTGTGACCCATGAAAGTTCATATTTGTGATTATAAAGTTTTGTTTGTAATTTTTTATAATAGTAGCCTTAGTTTTATTGTTGATCGGTTGCTTTGGGTGGTCATTTTAATTGCTGCAACTTGCAAATTCAACCATTTTCTATATGTTTATTTTGTAGAAAAGATTAGTTGGTGAAAATGCATTTGTTCGAATTGCTCCAGTAGTTGCTGGAGTAGCTGATGCATCAACGACCCATTATTTGTTTAGAGCTCTTGCTGGAGATGAGCATGGGATCAGCTGGAGCTTGTGGACAAGATTTATTGCTGAACTTATCAAGTATGTATGGATTATGCAATCACAGCTTGTCACACTTTAAACATCTAATTCTATAGTATTATAGTGTGCCTTTTTTGTGGTCAAAGTTGTGCGGGACATAAATTTTAGGGAATATTAAGATACTTGACCAAACACTATTACCAAGGGAGTTCGATCAGTGAAACAAGATATGTACATTGATGATTTCCTTTTATGTGCCTTTTTTGTGGTCAAAGATGTGCGGGACATAAATTTTAGGGAATATTAAGGTACTTGACCAAACACTGTTACCAAGGGAGTCCGATTAGTGAAACAAGATATGTACATTGATGATTTCCTTTTTTAATATAACAACAATTGCGTGGGAGTCAAGCATTGGAACTTTCTGTAGAAAGAACCGGTGGAGCCAGATGTGTTGGGAGGCCCGGGGATTTAAGACTAAACAGAGGAGAAATAGGATTTAAGTTTCTTCAGGATTGTCATTTTGGTTGTTTCACAGGAGTTAGGTTAAATCCTGATTAACCTTGCTCAAACTTTGCTTTTAAACAATCTATCATCTCTTTCTTTCTTTCTTTGTAACTGCCTCATTCTTTCTCCCCCCCTTTTTTGTCTCTTCCATTCTCCCTCTAAACAGAGAGAACTGAGAAGAGGGAGAAAAAAAAGAAATGAATGAAGAAAAAAAGAATAAAAGAAAAGAAGAAAGAAAAAAGAAGATAAATAAGAAAATGTTATGTATTAAATCTCTTTGGCTTACTAGACATTCATCATCGTTTTGTTGACATAAATTCACATGCAAAGATGTAATGCAAAGTCAGTCAGTCATCCCAATGTAGTACTTGTGCACGTCATTTTGGCATGGAGTGGGAAATTATACATTGTTCTTCATAATTTTGATGTGCAAGTGACCAGTACAACTTTTTTTGACGTGGTAGAAAAAAATATATGTACCTCTCTTAGCGTGATGGGAGTTGAAAACTTGTGCCGCTAATAATAGGTACTTGTATTTGCTTTTCTTGACGTGGCAGGAAAAATCAAATTGTATAGTTTTTTTTGTAAGATCAAGATTTATGTCTTTTTTGGTGTGGTGGTGTGGTAGACCTAGTCTCATTGCTCTAAATATCAGCCACATACACTTTTCTTGGCATGATGGGCATGCCTAAAGTTATTGCAAATGATCCCTTTGCAAAGAAGACGTTGATAAGCTGTCAGAATTTTTGTAACATAATTTAAGCTTACCGCCAAAAAAAGAAATAACCCGCAGTACTGTAGCTGCTACAATATCACAAAAATATATTTCGTGGAAGACGACAAAATAATCTCATTTTCCCTTCATATTACTTTCTTTCATATTATTCTTCATTTGTTTTTAATCATTTTCTATATATTTGTTGTATTAGGGTTTGAAATTCAGTTTTGGCTAGATTTTTGTCACCTATATATGTGCTGTATTAGGGTTTGAAATTCAGTTTTGGCTTAGATTTTTGTGAGGATAGTCGTCGACATCTAGGTTTTCCCTTCTAGGGCTGCATCTGATGACGAGTTGTGCTCCGGTTGTATTCATCCGAGTTAGTAACGTTCTCCAAGGGTTCGAGTGGTGCTCCTGCTGTAGCTCGATCCTGCGGGGATATTTATTCAATTCAACTCCTCTAAAACCCCTTTCCAGCCATTCCCCTTGCTGTCGTGGCCCCCAGACAGTCCTCCCATAGTTGTCTCACTGCCCCCAGACAATCCTCCGTTAGCTGTCTCACAGCTCACCACCATTCCCTTCGCCACCGACATCACTATATTCGTTGCAGCTACCCGACAAACACCCTCTTTGCTATTTTCCTGCAATCGCCTACCACTTAACTCCCTTCCATTTTGCTGCCATCCTTCGTTTTCGCCATCCAACAACAAAACAACCCCTTTTCTGCCACCTCTATGCTGTTCCATCTTTTTCAAGCTAGCTCCCTGCCACGTAATCGTTGCCCTAGCCCATTCAACCCCCACACTGTAGTTCATAGCCCCAACCTTCTACCTGCAGCCGACCAACATTTCCTTCCCCTTCCCTTCTCAGTGCACCCACGACCAACTCGCAACCTCTTTCACCGGTAACCACTCTTGGGATCTGCTTTAATTGAGTTTGTTAGTATTGTGTGTTTGCTGTATTTCCTTTTCATTGTGATATTGTAACTACTTATTTGCTCCAAATAATAATATTTATTTTTTCGTTGTTGTTTGGGTTCACTCTGCTATCATTTGGTATCAGAGCTAGCTTAACCTCAATCCCCCTCTACCAAAAACTTTTCATTCCTATTTCCCAAACCATAGCCAAATTTTGACCTTGCCCTAATTTGTCCTTGTTGATTTACAAAATTAGCAACCTTAAATCAATTTTTTTTCACCCTCTTTCACCTTATAACTCTAAACCTTAGCAATGCCACCAAGAAGATACATTACCCGAGCCTACTCCGGAAAAGATACAACAAGAGATTCGCTGACTTCAACGGAGGCTTGTAGACATAGAGATGAAACCCAGTGGGAGATTACCCGCGATCGTGATTTGGAGAATCGAAGGGGAGAAGGGGGAATCTAAAGAAGCAAGAGATACAACGCTAGTTCCACTAACTTACACGTTCAGATCCTAGCTTCAGAAGTGGAGAGATCATATCACCGAGCGACCACAACATCTTACAGACAGAGTTCAACCTTAGGATCTTACAACTAGAGTACACTCAGAATAACACTCAAGACGATCTCTTCAGAGGAAAAACTAATTCAGTGTGGAGAACAGGTGGAACCAATCCACATCAATAAATCTATCACAACCAAAAAATGTTGCAAGTGCTATAGATTTTTGCGTGGTGATCAAAATACACAACCATGGGGTGATCTGTTTCACTGAGCAGGACGTTCTTGAAAAATTGGGTAATAACACTGTAGGCACTGAAGGTGGTGAGGACACTAAAGGAGAGGACCAAGAAGGAAAATGAGACCCTTTTGCATATAGTTCCAGCTAAGCCAATGGGAGAGACTCTAACCTGCTTCACAGCAAGTGTCTAAGACAGTCTTGAGTTCGAGAAACTGACACCAGAGTCATGACAATCCCAGATAAGAAAAATCTAAACTCAGATCTATAGACTCATTCTCGAGTTGCACTACACATCAGAAATGAGACCTTTTTATGATATGAATGGAGGATTACATGGAATTATTCAGATGTTAGATTCATTTCACTATAGTACCTATCTTAAGATGTCTAGACAAGAGGGGTGAACCCTAGCCTTGAAATTTGACTTAAAAGCTTGACGAGGAAGGAAAGCTTCTATGAGATCCAAGTTCTATCAGTAGAAACAAGGTTTCACTTAAGTGGTTGCTAGTGAGAATGGTGCAGCCTGCCACAGATTTTACCCTTGAGTTGATTTCTCCTCACATATTTGTTTATCAACTAAATTCTGCTAGTACGAGTAGTGGAAGAAGAATGTTTCAGACTTTAGGGTTAAAGAGTTACACTGCGAGAATCTACATCTATATGCAACTCCAGCTTATAATGTGCCAAGAGAGGATGCATATTTATTCTGTTAAGATGTGGTGTGGAATGACAACATTTACATGATTGATCTATCAGGGGATTACAATATATCCGTTACCATCAACGTGACAAACTTAACTCAATGCTACAAAGAATTAGAAGTTTTGATTAATGAAGTCAAAGCTCCCCCAATCCCGGGAGATTGACGCTGGAGCTTACTACAAAAAAGGAAATATCCCACGGTACTATAGCTGCTACAATATCTCGGATGCGGTACAACAATTGCTACAGTACCGTAAATATATTTCACAGGAGGCACCGAAATTGCCCCATTTTTTACCTTATGTTTTTTTTTATTATCTTTCATTCCTTTTTAGTCATTTCTTATATATGTGATGTAGTAGGATTTGGAATTCCGTTTTTTTTTACCTTATGTTTTTTAACTAAGTGGGTGGGAGAAAAAGCTAAGGAGATTGATTCCGTTTTAGCTTAGATTTCTATTAGGAAAGTCGGTGGTGTCCAGGTTTTCCCTTTTAGGGCTGTGTCTGACGACGTGTTGCTTTGGTTGTATCATGTCTGAGATGGTGACCTTCTCCAAGGGTTTGAGTGGTGCTCTGGCTGTTGCTCAATTCACACAGGAATATTTATCCCATTCAACTTCTCTGAAACCCCTTTCCAGCTATCCCCCTTGTTGTTGCAGCCCTTGGACAGCCCTCCCATAGCTGTCCCGCAGCCCATCACCCTTCCCTTCGTCGCCACCGTCATCATATTCGCTGCAGCCACCCGGTAAACACACTCCTCGCTGTTTTCCTGCAACTGTCTACCACCTAGTTCCCTCTCACCTTGCTGCCACCCCTCGCCGTCCCCTTCTAGCACCAAACTGACCCCTTTCCTGCCACCTCTCAGCTGCCCCAACCTCACTGAATCCCTTCCCCCACATCCTAGCTGCTGTTTCAGCTTTGCCGAGCCAGCTTCCTTCTACCTAATTGCTGCCCCAACCCTTAGAACCCCACACCACAGTTCACAGCCTCAACCTTCTCCCTGTAGCCGACCAACATTCCCATTTCCTTCCGTGCCAAATATAACTCATAATCAAAACTTGAATCGGACTTGCAAAAGGGTTTTGTGATGAAGCTTGCTTGTGAGAACAAATTTTCTAATTGTACTAAGAATTCTCTCAAATACTCAAAACCGTCAAGAACACATTTGGTGAATTAAACTTGGATGAAAATGAATTGAGAATGCTTCCCATTTATTAGAGGAATGATTATTTTGCGGGACCCAGTGAATAAAATATGCTAAAATCAGATCTTAAAGTCTTCACGGATGAATTTGAAAATTTTTTGCCCCAAGGACCATACAGTTGCTTTAAAAAAGATCATGCATTCATTTTAAACTCTTTTTTTGTGATCAAAATCATTATGTTTCATGATTTTTTGAAGCGGTCTGCCTTGCTTACAGGGCTGGGGTCATAAATCCCATTTTACAATTTCAATCTCTCATATTATGAATGTTGGGCTGGTTGTTGACAAAGATCCTTTGGTTATGTTCAGTGGACTATATACTCCAACTAAGTAAATCAGAGTCTCATACAATTTGGAGCAATAAAACTATATGATCTTGTTTGGGTTCATCTTCATACGTTGCCCCCCTCTCAATCCACTTTAAGCTAAAGCTGGTAAGTTTTCTCAATCTATACTTTGTTACTATTATAAGCTAAGTATTTAACGCTTACCAATGGCTTTAGTATAAAATTTTGTTTTTATAATTGAGAGTGATGATTAATTATAGGGGCTTATATTTTTGTAAAACTTGAAATGAGATCACGAGTCTTCGCAGAATGAGGGTGAAATCTATTTATAGTGTATCTTATTTAAAATCTATTGACTCCAACTCTTTCAGAGGAGCTGGGCATGAGTTTTTGGGGCCCACAACAACGTTTGGAGAAAAGTTGGTTTCTTTGTTGGCTTTTAGCATTAAAGGGCGTGTAAGCATATATGCTATGAAAGACTCATCTAGAAATGAATTGACTTGATGGAAAACCAAAAGGATAACGATCAATTGATTTTGAAAGCTTTGAAACAGGGACCTTACTGCATTAACAATTGCCTAAAAAAATCCAGTCTCCCATTCGATTTTCTTCCAGTTTAATATTCACATAACCGCTAAAGGAGCATCCAGTTATGTGTTAACTGCACTGAATAGCTTCTTTGTAGTGTTTCTTTTGTGTCTTTAAGAATATTTCAAAAGACATTTTGTTTTTAAACCAATCAGTTTCTGTCAGATTTGAACAAAATTTATGTTGTGGATAATTTTTCCGGAAATATGTAACTGTTGCAAAGTCATGGTAGATACCGGAATCATTCTTTTTTCCTTTTGTTCTTTGCCGTGCTTGAACTCCAGTCCATTATTAAGATTCCTTTGTATGCACGCTACATCACCTTCTTGTCCTTTAACTTTGTTATGAGTTCTCATTTTGTTTCTTCTTTTTGGTATACTTTAGGATTATGTGTTTTATGTTTTCTCGGCTTATTAATTTTTTTTATTTGAATTAGATTTTTTTTTTGGGCCGAATTATTCTCTCGGCTGAATATGAGATGACATTTTGTGTGTGTGCTCGTCCCGCCTGCACAATCATGTATTCAACCAAAGATGCATTAACCATTCCATAAACTTCAACTTCTAAACCAGTATTGCGAAGTTTGCAGTGTTCAAGTGACATTTTATTTTAGTTTCGTTTACTTCATACAGGGTGCATAAAGGAAGGAAATCTCATCAAACTTCTAGTCATCTTTTGCCTGCCGAGCAACTTCTGTGCATAGGCCATGGTAGGCAGCGACCTGTTTTAAAGTGGGAGGATAACATAGCATGGCCTGGGAATCTGACATTGACAGATTCCACTCTATACTTTGAGGTACTCCATTCCATGTATTGCTGTCATGTCAGATACAGTTACCCATGCAGTTATTTTATTGTTTCATTTTTTTCCATCAATATTTTGTTTTAAATGTGTTTAAGTGAGGATAGACATTATGTAGATTTAGGGTGCGTTTGTTTTGGTTGTGGATATAGAAAAGCTGGTTTCAGAAGCTGTCGTTGAAAATCTACAGTTCATAAGCTGGTGTTTAGAAGTTGTTTGTCTGTTTGAAAAAAAAAGTTCTGAAAGCGCTGCTTGTTGACATAACGACTATAATGCCCTCAGTTTATAAACACAACTCTGTTTTAAGAATAGTTTTGTTCGGAAAACACAGTTTTGGGCTGTCTGTGCAGTCAATCTAATGATAATTTTTAATGATATTTTGAGGTTTTTGAACACAATACCATAAGAGAATTTAAGACGAAAATTAACCCAAAAATTAACCCAATTTTATGTCCTCAAAATAATCATATTTTGAGAATTTAAGACGAAAATTAACCCAATTTTATGTCCTCAAAATAATCATCAAAATAATCATATAAATATAAGTTCAACATAAACTGCATCCTAAGCGGATAGATGAGTTTGTCTACCAAGAACACCTAAAATAGCACAGTTTGTCCTCCAAATTACAAGTAGAAATTTGAAATTTGATAACATCAATGAAAGCAATAGGTATAAAGCTCTCATAATTTTCAACCAATTCAATTGCCTCGAGTCTCCACCCAGAAAGCAAGTGGTATAAAGCACCCAAAAGTTTCAACCACTTAGTAGCCTCAATGCTTAAAGCACCCTAAACTTTAGATAGCACCTCAAATGTTCAACCAGAAAGTAATTGGTATAACACACCCAACATTTTCAACTAGTGTAGCAGTCTACAGTATTGCCACCAACTTATAAGATTCTCAACTGCCAAATTCTTCTGAATGACATAATGAAGTGCATTATAAAGCATTGCAGGTATTATCACTATTAGAAAATAGATTTCATTATACACTTTCATACCAACTGCATTATAAAGCATTGCGAGTAGTGCCACTGATTGTAAGTAACGAATTGCCAAGCAGCTGTAACAAAAACCATATCAGTAGTGTTGAATGTCAACTATAGCAGCAACATAACACCAACCATAACTTGTAATGTGTCCAAATGCTCCAACCATAACAGGAACTATAACAACAACTATAACTGACTTATAAAGAAAAACCAAAGGCATCTCTTTATAATAATAGCTCCAAATAATAAATGAATTATCAAGTGGTGAGAAGTTGTTTGCCTTCTTACTCAAAAAAGGAAATAAAAACCAAAGGCTAAAGCAGCTAAAGCAGCCAATGAAGCAAAATCCAAGTTAAGATAGCCTTCATATTCTAATGTTTGGTTGCCGTTAAGATACCGAACAAAGAACTCAATCAGATAGGGATCAACATAAGTTCATATTGTGTAATAGGAGTTCTTATTCTGTGCGGACACCGCACGCAGCTATGCGTGCGGTGTCCAATGGAAAGATGACATCTGCTGTATAATAGGGCATAAAATGCAGTAATCAAGACATGTCCCCAAGCAGATTTTAGTAACCCCTTTGCCAATTGGAAAGAAGAAGTTTGAGCAGCTCCATTGTTGTTTACATTTTCGTTGCTACATAAACTACTTTTAGTGCATGATTCAAGGTTGCTTTTTCAAACTCCAAAAGCCCTCTCGATCATATCTCGCAATAACGAATGACGCTTATTAAACATTTCTTTTCATCCCCGCTCTACTTGACTAGCTCTTTCATAGTCTTGAATGTGATATCTTGTGTTGGAAAATGATTTTAGAAATCCCCGTTGCAGTGGATATCCGACAGACACAACATAATGTTTCCCTGTTACGACAATCAACTATGAGTTATTATGTAAAACTTTAAGATAAGGTTTAAAGAGGAGTTATCCAACTTAGAGGCGGTAGGGGGAAGTTATGCATACAGGATTGTGTCGCGAACTTGAAATTCTACTATCACAAGCACTACATTTCCAACCAAATCTGACAAAAGTAAAACACATATTGAAGTCGCATAATGACATAACATTCTATGTAGATGAACCACAACATCCAATTTATACGACATTTTCAGTATTTGGCACACGTGCATAAACACTTGTGCCATCAATGACACCAATACAGTCCTATATGAAAGGGCAATAATTTAAATTTGAATATTTTTTTCTTTTGATGAAAAAAAGATCTATGACATATATCCATGATCACAAGATATTTCTATAGGAATATTTCGAAAAGTTGGGTCTTCATGTTTGATAACTCCGGAAGACATACTTACCAATGCATTTAAATTAATAGATAAATATCTACTTATGGTATCAGATGATTGCTAAAATCTCTCACATGCTAACCTTATCGTTTCATTGTGTAAAATGTTATGGTGAATGCCTCATTTGAAGTCATTGTAGAGGAGCCAACGAGACCATGACTATTGTGCAGTTCATTCAACAGATCAATAAAAATTACTTCGCTCATACAGAATATGTATGGAATCTACTAGAGTGCCCCCCAAGAAGCTCATTGACCCATTTGTCCCCGATAAATGTTGATGGCATACATGATATGCAAGAGATCGATGATTCATAGTATGCAGTGAGTACACATACAACTGTTGTAATAATTTTCATGCAACGCTCCTACGTACTCTCTCAGTGAGATTCATAGCTGGAAATATAATAGACGGTAAAATATTACGAATGCTTAAATTAGATAATATCACCCATCACATTTGCTAGCATCAATAATAATAGTTCTGCCAATAATAGATCATAACATAGAACTAGAATAAGAGCAATTGTTCAGTCGCAAAAAAAGAAAAAAAAGTCTTAAGTGGTTATTACACAGAAATGACAGGTACAATTCACACATAACACAAATACACAATAGTAATCAGACGTTGCGATTTTCCTAGAAGAAACATAAGTAATAGACCCTTCTTTCAGGCGCCATGGTCATTACCAGATCTTCAATTGGCTTCAGTGAGTAAAAATACAAGGGCACATCTTAAAAAAATTTCGATATCTGTTCATGTATTTTTATTACATCACTAATAGATGAAGATTGTTGTGCATTGGTGACGTCAGAATATAAGTTCGTACATGCTGTAACTAGCTCAGATATTTGGCTTCTTAAGTACGCATGACCAATTTTTTTGTACGACTTGCTCTTGCTTTTAAAGAAGGCGGTGTCCGTGCATTGCTAGATTCACTGATATCATTCCTGCCATGCGGTGATATCTCAATATGATCAATCGAGCTATCTCTTGGCTCTTTTGAACTTTGCGCAGTCCAATAATTTTCACCAGTCCAAACAACCCCTCCAAACATGACATCTAGCTTCTCCTCTAGCTCTAGTTAAATTCCGCCAAACTTAAATTTCTTAGCACTTGGTACAACCCGTCATTCGTATAATTAGAGGGAAGTTATGTGTAACACATGTGCATGCTAGGAAAATTTATATATGTCTTAAAATAGATTTGACTTTTAATTTCTCCTTTCACCAATCTGTTGATGCATCTATGGTGTTCTTAATTGAACCTGAAGGCCAGTGGATCCTCTTTTGAGCTCTTTTCATACCTTCTAGTCCTTTTTTAATTGGTCTCATTTTTTCTTTAATTGGGTTCGATCATATACCCTTCCGGTTTTCTCTTGAAAATTATTTGTTATGTTACGCCAACCTTCTTTGTTGAAATGTATTGTTGGCCTGTTCCTTAATTCAATTTCTGTCATACATATATCACCAAAAAATAATATTTCTTTGTACCAGATAGCAGATGTTGCGTCATCTCTTATATTGTTCATTTGCTAACAATAAGTTTAAAAAATTAAGCAAAGAGTATATAGAAAAACAAAATAAAATAAAATAAAATTAAACATGACACTATTTCAGCTAATAAGATTGATATTTATGAGGAACCATTAAACAAAGAGGCATGCTTGTTTTAAATAAATGAATTTCCAGCAAAACCACATTCTAAAGTCCACTCCAACTTCATAGACAAGGATAAAGAGTTCCACTCTAGCTATATAGACCATGTGTGAATTTGTAACAATAACTAGCTATGTCACTCCTAAATTGATTCATCTTTGGAAAAAAAAAAAGAGGTTGATTAGTACCAGACTAATTATGTTCAAACATAATTCCTTATTCTTCCCACATTTGTAACAATAGCTAAATGTGTCACTCCACTTTATTTCCTTGTGTAATTAGCTAAATGCAAATCAATTCCGAAGAAAAACATTATTCTTCTATTTTATACATATCTATTCATGCATCTTATATCATCATTCAACTTTATAAAGCTGAAATAGGGGGTTAGAGAATGATGCTAGACTATTAATTCATAAAAAAGATATGATTATTTATCCTTATGCATCTTCAAATTTTCATCCATATCCTTAAA